CATTTGAATCAAGACATGTTAAGTTTTAAAACTAGCTTATTTTAAATTTATTTTCTCAACAAATGTTAAAATTAGCACAAAATATGTGATTGGCTAGCTTGATCTTTTACCACTATTTAATTTCCAATCATTTCATTTTCGCATGATATGTTCAAGTGCAAAACAAGCAAACAAAAAACCAAATAACTATTTTAGATCACTGGTTTTCAAAACAGTTTTAATTAATGCACTTAATTAAATGCAACAGCTTCAGTCCTAATATGCTGCATGAATTGTGGAGGATTCTATTCAACTGTTCCTTTTTTTATGTAGTTTATAAATATGAAATGTTGCAGGTTTCTAAATGAACTCTAGGATTGAAACCTAAGACAAACATATAAAGTTAAACTAAAACCTTATAAATAATTAAAGGAATTTTTTTTTAAAAAAGTGTTCGTTTTTGCAGGATCTTAGGGGAAGTCGGTAGGTTGGATTCATGGGAAAAAAACAAAAACAAAACAAGGATTGACAGAAGAAACTTGAGTTAGTAGATCGATACGTATTTAGTGTTTTTAGCTCACTGTTGTATCTCTTACAGCTTCCATTACAATTACATGCAGCAAATTCTAGAAACTTTTAGGACTGGCTGTAACTGCTTTACTCACAGAAGAGTTGACATCACCGCAGAGCAGACAGGCTGTCACTCGTACAACGGCAATCGAAGTCAGTGACTCGATGCAATTTGCTCGGTTTCCTTAGATTGGAAACATTTTTTTTTTTTTTTTTTTTTTACCAATTTAAACTGAACTCGTCTACATTGTTTTGATAACTAGGATCAATGCGATACGTTTGTAATTGACTCGGAATTTGTGTGTACGATTGGACTAAATTGACATTTTTTGTTTGTAAAATACCTTTTAGATTGTGTTATGAATTTATCCTTAATTTAGCATTTTCTTCAAACTCACAGCAGTATGACATCTTCACACATCTTCACACCATCGATGACAGTAACATTAACTTCTCAGGATTTCATTTCTGAGACGTCCGGAGTATCCCTCTAATATTAATGACACTCTCCTACAGCCCCTGTTTGTCATTACTGCCGTAATTTTCAAGTCGAGGCGCTGAGGAATTCCCATAAACATGTTTATGTGTCTAAATCACTGACCTTTACTTGCACAGGAAATCCATCTCTGCTGATACGCAGTATCTCAGTGATAAATACTTCCCTTCAAATATTTATAATGGGATCTGGAAACCGCAAGAACATAATAGTTTAAATTAGGCCCATCAAAGCCAAGAGCCTTGCTATACAAGATCCAATTTTTGAAGTTTATGATACACGTTTCACACGCTGTGGTGGGTTAAGAAGACGGGGCTGTGGGGGCGCGAGGGGGAGAGAAAGAAAACCTCCGGAGTCAAAGGTTGTAATCATAATAATTTAATGATGGCTGTATCCTTTTTGCAGTAAATCCTCCCAGCCAGAGAATGTAGCTTTGCCTCAGTTAGGAGGTTTATCTTCCTGTTACTGAGTCACTATATCTACTAGTGACGGACAGTTATTTGACACTCGTCGGCAAATTAAAGCCCCTGCTGTAAAAAATAAAAAATAAAACGCAACGTGAAGCTGGGCAGTCTATGTTTATTTAAATTAATAAGTGTGGATATTCATGTTTCATGGAAAACATAAATACAATGAAGTGAACAGTTATTTTTTGTATATGTTTTAGGCTGGCAAAAGTCACAATTGAGCAAATTCCTACTTTTACATTTATTTTACAGTTTCTATAATCACTGAGGATTACATGCAGTTTTCTTGCTCGTCTCTTTCTAAGGTGGTTGAAATGCTAAAAACATAAATCATCCTCGCTTTTTATGTCTCAAACATTTTTTTCAAAGAATCTCGATTCTGAGTACAAATGACCATTTTAGGTATCCTAGATTTTAAGCCATCTTTTCTCTTTTAAAACAACACAGAGAAAGGGGGATATCTCTTTTATTTGAGCAGAAATAGGAGGCAATTAGGCATATGCCAAGTTTTGCACTCCCAGCAGTTAACGGTTAGCCATTTGTTGCATTCCTGATTATAAAATGCTTCAGTCTTCTCTGTCACTTTGTCACTGATTGGTTTTCTGCCGAGTACATAAAATCTGGGGTGTAATGGTAAACAAACAAACAAAAACTGCTACCTAAAATGCTTCCTTACACACAATTTAAAACGGTTGATGTGCCTTTAATTCTTTCATAACTCAGATGCTCAAGCACGGATACGAAAGTGTCAGGCTTAAAGCAAACACACCTTTCCAGCTCTGCCCATAAATTTGGAATGAGGCTGAGATGGGGGCTTTGTGCCGGCTTGTTGTCTTGAAGCCCTTTTGTGACTCACTTTACAGTATGATTAGGGTCATTAGCAAGTTTTATACTTTGACTCACAACCACTGTTCAGGGAAATATTAATCACTTTTCATCAGACAGGTTAAGATCAGGTTTGTTTTGTGGAGGTTGCATGTTCTCTGTGCACTTTCCAAAAAAGTAGATTTTAAATTGATCCTAAGTGTATCTGTACGCCTGTCCGTCTCGTGCTCCAGTTGTTTAGTGGGTCTCAAAGGTCTTCAAAGACCAGGCTCTGTCCACCCTGGACCCTGATCACAGAGATAGATGGTGTTCACTGCAGAAACACAAAGTGTTACCAAGCATTTTTGTCTAGTTTTGATCCAGTTTCTATTGCAAATACCTTAGCTAGCTTGAAATAAGCCAAAACTAACTTACAGGAAAGTTTTAACAAGATATAGAGGCTTGTTTAAAGTAAATAATTCTTTAATGTTGATGAAAAAGTACGAGTTCCATTGGCAGATTATTTAGCTTATGACAAGACATTTTTCTAATACTTTCTCATCATTATTAAAGAATTATTCACTTAAAGCAAGCCTTTATATCTTGACGAAAAGCTACTTTTAAGTTAGTTTATCTTATTTTAAGTGCAATAAGATATTTGCGCTAGAAACTAGACCAAAATTACTTGGTAAGATTTTGTGCTTTTACCGTATTTATAAAATTGTGGCAGCCACAGCTGCTAAAGGGCATTCTTTAGAAATGTCAATGTTTTGATCCATCTTCCATCCACTTTTTCTTTCTTCACTTTCTCATAACACCTCACATTTTCTATTGGGCTCCAAAGAGAAGCACATAGTAGCACAACATATTAGCGCGACACAATTAAACTTGAATTTCATCAAAGCTTTTTCATAACAATTGAATACCCCGGAGAAAAATGCTGCTGATTGGTGTCCCTAAACTGTCCCCAATGGTTTAGGGAGCAGTTGATAATTGTGAGCGGAATAGATGCGTATATCAAATAGTTTACAAAATGAAGCCAGCTGTGTTTCCCCTGCATACTGTGGCTTCCTGACACGCACCATTAAACCTTATTAGCCACTTCCTTAATCTGAGATCCTCCTCACCCCATCTTCCACCCCTCATATTAACATTTTCTGTTCCCCCAACTGGAAATTATTTGCTTTATTGTAGAGTGTCAACGTCCCGTTTTAGTTTTTTGACACGACATAATTGGCACTTTAGAATCTAATCATGGACGAGAGCTGCGTGATTGCAGTCTTTTATGCGGAGATCTCCGATCACTCCGTTGTGCGCGCATCCCTTTGGGCTCGACGTGTGCGCTTCTCTCATCTGTGACGCCTGCGATGGTCGGCGTACCTTCTCTCCCACAGGTCCCCTCCTCAGCGCGACGCTCACAAGCCATTAGATTTAAAATGACTCATAAAGAATCAATTACAAATGATAGAACAGAACCGAGGAATATCATAAAGGGGGTGTCGCGTGCTTCGCGAATGGCTCGTGAACAGATGTTGGCGAGCACATAACATGTCAGACGCATTATTGTTTTTACAGAGACATTGCCAAAAGAATGCAGGAGATAATTACTGCAGTGCTTTGATGGGACAATCATTTCTTAAAATGCAGGAGGAAGAGTAAACCGTGACTGGAATAAGTATGACGGCTCGGGAAGTTTACAGTTCATCGTTGGCGGTACACGAACAGTGAGGGCAAGCATGAAATAAGACATGAAAAAATATGGATGACACAATGCAGCTCCAGGCAAAACAGCATGAGATCACTAATAAGTTATTTACTTAAAAAAATAAAGTTTAAGAAACATCGTTGTCATTGATTGAACAAAGGTTTTACTTTTTCAGCTGTAGTAGAGAATAACGGTTCAATGCTTAAAAGAAGTTATGTAATCATCATGTTATCAGCATTTTCCTTATTCTGCACAACTATAATTATGCAACTGTGTCCGCAGTTAAAAGGAAGTGCTTACCAGAGAAGTTCACAAGTTTTTTTTTGGCTTTTTTGCCCCAAAGTTGACTGATCAGACGCTGGAACCACTTCAACTAACTCCTTCTGATTTAGAGGAGCAGTGGCCCCAATCCACACTCACCACCCTATTTCTCTTACTGCGCCCTGAAACTCTGCTCATCTCAGCAGCTTGTGTGAAGGATCTTGAGCCATATCTCATGACATAGAAAATGGGGTTGGAAAATTGGAAAATCAAGATCTTTGCTCTTTGGCTCAGTTCTTTCTTCACTATGACAGGCGGCAGCAGCACCCATATTGCTGCAGACAGATGCAGTGACTTGTGGGTTGTACACAAACTCCTACCTTCTGAGTCACTGTAGTGCATGCTTAACATCACATCATCTGCAAAAAGCAAAGTTGAGACCCTGAGATCTCAATACACCAGAGACCCTTATCTCAATGACTTTGTGCTAAGGTCCCCTGTATGAACATCACAATCAGGATTAGTGACAAGAGGCAGCTGTGATGGAGACCAACATGCACTGGAGCTCGAGCTCTGAGACAAAATAACTACTTTTGTTCAGAGCTAACCTGAGTTTAGCTTGAGAGACACAAGTCCTTATCGGTAACTAGGTCAAGTTAAAAACATCTGTCTGTGTAAATATCTCATGTTACAATATGGACATCTGCACCTTATGGACGAGTGCAGCCTATATACATGTACTTTTTCTTTAAAGTTGTTTTTTTTCCCTCAAAGTTAGAGGGTACTACTGATGTTCGATTGTGCCGGAACATCTTCACTTGATGCCTTCCACTCATTGCATGAGTGCTACCTTTTTATTTTAGATGAAAGAAAAGGTCTCTGAGGGTTGGGTTGATAAAAGGTCTTCATTTTGGTCTTTTATTGTCTAAATTTTAATGAAAAATAACTTGTTCCATTGGTAGATTTTCACTTATATCGAGACGTTTTTCCCCACAAGTGAAACAATCTGCCAATGGATCTAGTCCTTGTCATCACGATCCAGGAACCATAAGCCGTCTTCACATCTACAAAACACACATGGACAAACAAACTCCTGTTACTGACTCATATCATCTGTTACCTGGCCAAAAAACATAATTTATCGACAGACGTGACAAATTTGCAGTGTTATACAAAAACATCAAAGCAGAATACATTTTCTTCACAGCCTTGTTTCGGGGAATGTTTACTTCCTGAACTGGTGTAGTTCCACTCTGCTTCTCTGCTTTCTTGACAAGAACACTTTGCAGGATACACACGATGCCAGCCACTCTCTGTTATGGAGTACTGTATTAGCAGAAAGCCACTGTTTCATCTTCTAACATATTATTTTCCCTTGTGCTCCGTAGGGCCTCTGTGTCTTTGAAAAAGAACGGCCTGATTAATGTGTAACTTTACGATATCGAAACACATATCCCTTCTCTCTTTGTCTTAGAGGAGCCTCGCGTGTCCTTGAAGCTTTGCGAAGTGTGATTTGTAAATGAGATAGGTGAGTATTACGGACCCTTGGTATTTCTCTTGGCTCCCTACGATCAATTAAAGCGCGACAATAATAAATGTATACATTTAGAGGGATTTCGCCGTGGTGACAAATGATTTTACCCTTGAGCTATTGACATTGTCTGGGAATAAGCCGTCTCCACCCCTGTTGTGTATTCTGTTGGAGGGGCCCTTCCTCTGCTTGGGGAGTGTGTTTGGAAGGGGGGAGACACAGCAGACACATATTCATCATCAACATCTGCACCACAAGGCGACAACACACACACACACACACACACACAAACGCATCCACATTAAAATAGATTTTCAAGTGTTTGCCGGCACCACTTGAGTAAGAGTTCAGCCTTGTTGCATATTCATTTACAAATCAAAAAAAAAATTGAGATTCTTTGCTAAATATATTTGTGTTTTTTTACAGGAAATATTTGTCTGACTGTGTTGCTCACTGATCCCATCTTCAGACTGAGGTAATTGGATCCCCTGTAGTCAAGTGAATGATGATTGTGAGCACTCTTATTAAGTGGGATGAGAAAATTGAAGACTCGATGTCGTTGCATCTTATTTTGTTGTGTGGGTGACATTTTCTTTGCTCATTAACTCCACAACTCTCTTTTCAAATGTTTGCTCCATTCCTCCATCTCCATGGCCGACGGATTAACTCTTTGCAGCTAAGAAAGAAAGAAAGAAAAATAAAGGGAAACTATACCGTAATCCTCTTCGGGTTTTATTCATGGCTTTGGTGTGTTACTAAGTTCATTTGATTGATTTGGTAGAGGGTACAATGGGATTGTAGTAATAGAAGTCATTAAGTCGAAGGGGCTCTAATATTACCAATCTGCTATCCCCTGACTGATCTATCAATTGGTGAGATATTCTTCAAAAAGTGGGGGGAGGGGATGGTTTGTGAGCGGGTGACACATTTAACATATTTCAATAACGTCATTTTCATGTGAGGCAGGTCAGGCTGTGAGTACAAAGGGCAATAGTGTTGGAGTATGTGAGCGGAATCAGGGCATATGCTAAGCAAATCAATAAAACATTAAAGGTAGCATGCAGAGAGCAGCCCATTTGGTACCTGTCTGCCAAGGGCAATGGTCTAGCCACTCAGAAAAGAGAGAAGGATTGGAGTTGCTGGGCTTGAGGAATGCTCTGGCACTAACATAATTGGAAGGTAGTTGCCTTATGACTGCAAATTGGGTTTTGCGCTTCATCAATAGGCATTTTGACAAGTGGCGTCCATCACGGTGAATCTCACTCTTTGCCGGGCCGAGCAGAGACAGAAACGTCTCAATAATTACATTAAATCTCTCCGTCTCATCCACCCCCAGCAACCTCTTCCTTATTGTCGAACAAGAAAAGCAATATGGTATAATTAGGTTTGATTGGGATGGTAGCGGCAGTGGCGTTGGTAGCGGGTGGTGTGGGTGTTTGGGGGGGGG